CCATGAACTACAACCCCAGTATATATACCAATCAGTATTGGCACTCTGAGGCGGCACGTTTGATCTTTAAAAGTAGAAATTTTAGTTGACACTTGACGTTTTCGGGATATAAAAAGTTTTCTTTACACGGACTTGGTATACCTGGTTAGTTGAATTTTTGTTCTGCTGCTTTTCAAATTCGTGTGTATGAGGGAGATGTGAGATACCTTTATAGACAACGGTTGAACAACTTAATTACTTTGAAAAAGAAAATAGATTAGATATCAGGGCAGTCTTCGCAAATGTAAGAAGGACAGAACCGTCTTAAATTTTTTTATATATGTGAAATATTACTTTTTGGTGAAAAGTTTAGTTACTTTTAGTTCAAAATATAACGTTAGTTTGTCAAGGGAAATATATAACACACAAGGTTAGAGTAACAAAATAGAGGTATTGCTTTATTTCTTAAGAATTACTCTAATCTAAAACTTTTCTAGTATATTGTAAAAATTTATTCTATACGTTATTTAGGTACTGCAAAATCTATAGGAAAGTATGTAGTTTTAAATTTAAAAATTTGTAACGGAGACATATTTAGTGTAGTTTTTTACAAATATATACTCAGTGACTTGTTTTTGTGAATGAGTTCAAGTATGGCAGACTAAAATCGTTATTTTGTATTATGAATTAATTTGAATTTATTTTAAAATGGGAACTATATGTATATGGTTTTCGTAGTTTTTACACTTGTGATAAAAATATCAAAGTTATGTATATTGGCCATTTACTACACACAGCAAATTCATAGACACAATATACATATTACTATTTGACATTCTTGTAAAACCACTAATTTAAAAGTGACTTTAAACTAAGTGACTACACACAGAATTGTTTAAAAGCAGCCATAAGGTATAATTTATTTATTGGATACTATAAAAAATTAATACTAGTTACATGTAGAGTTAAGTAACAAAAACAAAACAAACCTTTATATCTAGTGAACTTAATTTAGTACAGTCCTCAACTTTCTTGGGCTAACATTAAAGATATCTATTTGGATCTCGCTAAGAAACTCATTGGTAACAGCCATCATCTTGTTAAAAGGAGATATACTACTTGGATCTAAATCAAATAATTTTTTGTTACTTGGGTTTCTTAGATTAATCTTTGCCGCATTAACATTTATATAGTCATTCAATTCACAATCTTTGTACTTAAAATAGAGTACAAAATATATCACAGCCTGTTGCTTTCTTCTTTGTAAAAGAGATTTAATCTTAAAACTATTGAGCATAGTTTTATATGAGATCTTAGGTATAAGGGTACAAGTATTTTTTATGACATCGAGGTACCGTAAAAATATTTTTTGTACTTTTTCAATATGATCAATTTGTATGGCTTCCAAGGGCATCCATATTTGTGAAACATACTCAAGATGGAATCTTACTAAGGCATTAAATAATCTGATTTTGGTGGTAATCCTAATTTTTTTTGTATTTCTGATTTAAAAACCTAATGCTTTTATTGCTTTTTTAGTTATGTGTAAAAAATGGTTATTAACTTCAAATTAGACTGAAAGACAACTCCCAAATCCTTTACCTCATATTCACGATTTAATGTGAAATCACAGGTCTTATTTCTAATGTAAAACATTAAGAGGCTATGGATCCTTACAACTTAAAATATGCATACGTTTGTAAGTGTTAAATAGACGGATAAAAAGTGTTGATTTTTATTTACAACTATAATAAGAACCCATTAAAAAGATTAAGAGCAATAGAACATTTCAACAAATTTTTATAGGTACACATATTTTTGATACCTGATAATCAATAAATAATATATTTTTTGGAGTAGCAACAGGTTTATTAATACACAACTATTATTTTGTTACAAATACTTATAATATTTATAATTAACATAATAGTTGATATAAGTCCTTTAAAAATAATATATTTTGATTTAATTGTTGAATTTATACATGAGCAATTTTCCTTGTAGTGTCTTTTACATTTTGCAGAGAAATATTGTATTCTGATTTTAGCTGATAAATCATGTACATGTAAATGGGTTGAATGTAGACAATGTTAATGTTTTTGCTACTAATGCTGGCTAGGAATTCTGGGCTGGGACACCAACAAAAAAAAAGGAAGCACAAAGCACTAGATGTTTTTATCACTTATACACGTACAATTTACAACCATTCAAGTAACTAGCATGTTGGAAATACTTCACGAAAACATATTAAACATAAATCAGTCGAAGCCAATGTATTTTCTTTTTATAACACACCTTTTTAGCTTGATTACTTTTAGTACTCTATTTATTTCAATGTCCTCAAATAAAACGAGCAATAATAAGGATAAAACACACACTGAAGTGTATTTGGGGTATTTTTGATCTAAATCCACTATCAAAATAATAAATTTTCCGTTTTTAAGCTGCGAATGTATTACAAAAACTACTTCGATAAAATGTAAACAAAAGTTTTTATTTGTGTACGAAATATGGGGTTGCCTGCGCATGGTAGCGAGTTTTTAACCGGATTTATGACAAGTGATAGGTTATATCCCGAAAACGTCAGCGCAGTAAAAGCTGCGCGTCTTTTTCCCGCCCAGGGAGTGTCATGGGCCTGCTACAACGGACATCGCCGTACAGTGTTGCCGCACCGACATCTGTCATTGTCGCTACTTATGTTCGCCAAAAGTCGCTATTTTGTCACTGCATAATGATTGATGAAATATGCAATTAAACATACACTAACGTATGTGTTGTATTGCGTAAAAAAACTCAAAATAAACATTTTTAAAAGAATTTAGAAACTAAAAATTTAAATAACATCAATAAATAAAAAAAATATTCAGCTAGAGCCTGAATCTAATTTGTGAACAGATTCAGTAGTTCTGCATAAACTGGTTGAATCATTCTTCATTTTGATTAAATATATGTGTCGGTAAAATTATAAAATTTATTTGTTGGAATGCTCGATAATTACAGAATTAGTTTTTTAGCAGACAACTGATTTATTCCTCAGATAACCATCAGCAGGCCGTTGCAACCACATCATGAAATCATCTATATAACTAATAGTGTTTTGTTATTTTATTACACTGGTACTTAACATATTAAGGACCGCTATTTTTGGCTAATTTAGACTAAATCGCCGCTACTCTCACAAACCATTAAAATTTCGCTATTTTCGCGACAAGTCGCTACGAACGGCAACACTGTCGCCGTAGCTCTGTCTTGCGCGTTGGCTGTGCAAATAACAACTGAATATGAACTAAGCTATGGGCAACACGGTATACAAAAACATGGTACTGGTTGCCTATACTACAGCCATGACTGTCTGACAGAAATAGTCGATATCTGATTTGTTTTGTATTCGTTGTTATTTTTCTGTTTGTTTACTTTGCCATACTAAAACGTGATGTTATAATATCTCCATTTTTTTATTTAAAATTATTAACGGTTTGCGATAAAAGTTTGTATGGACGACGCGACGTCAGCAAAGTATCTTTATCGAACTCTCCTGCTAATCGCCTCGCTTGTTTTTCTCGCTTGTCTCATAATCTCATAAACAGCTCTTTTTCGACACCCTCACAACGATCCATTTGAATTCCATAATTATTATAATTAATGTCAAACTTTCATAAAATAATTACCCGTACTTTACATAAAATCTCTATTATACGGTAAGCACAATTAACAAATGAACAACTGTCTCTCTCAAACTACGATGCACTCTTTTAAAGGTTTTCCTATCATGAATTCTTTGATTTGGAAATTATTTTTCATAAGGCCTTTTGGCCTCTAAGGGATTACAAGATGCCATACATTAAATACATATCATCATATTCGTTAAACGTAAACCATTACTACTTTATTAATTAATTAGATAAAGAAGAAAAAATTTAGCAAATTTTAAAAACATTATTGTCAATAGACACTAGCACACTGCCATAAATTATTATTATTTACATCGGTACATGTAAAAAATCATAGCAACAAAAATTATTTATATCAATGACAACCAATGCAGAAATAGTAGTTTATGTTAACAAGGACGAAAAGTTGAGTTTTTCGGGCGATTACGAGAATCTTTCCAGGCGAGACGTATTCGACCAGATTTGGGAATTCTAATCGGTATGCAACACTTTATACACTTAACTTTAGAAGCCATGGCCGATAGACTTTATGAAGTAGGTATATACAAAAGTTCTACTTTCCGACTGTTTTCTGTCCAAAAAACGACGTTATTTGACACATTCGAATTAAAACAATTTCATTTTCCATGTATGTTTAGCGATAATTCTTTAACACCTTGTCCAATTTCTGATTCTTTTTTTTTTGTTAGTAAGGGGTACCTCAGGGGTGGTCCAATATAAATTTCGTCAAAATCTAATGATAAGGTCTATTAGAAAATCATGAAACTCCTAATTTTTATGTATTTTCAGCGATAATTCTCTATCATATTATCCGATTTCTATGATTCTTTTTTTGTTAAAAAGGGAGTACCTCAGAGGTAGTTCCATTTACAATTGGTCAGGATTTGATGATCTATGAGAAAATCAAAAATCTCAATTTTTAAGGGCATCTGCACGATTTTAAAGTCGGTTTTTTAATTAAAAAATTATTTAGTTAAAGGTAAAGTTGTCCAAAAATATTTTTGTTGTGTGTTTATCATACAGGGTATTAAAAATATTAGCATTATTGTGTTAAAGCTAGTTCGTCTCTGGCAAACTAAATAAGCCAAATGTGTTTAAAATGGTCCAGTTTACGTAGACTTATCCAGTATTCATCGTATTTAAAAATTGTTAAATATTACCAAGGACTGAAAATTATTAAAGAAAAAGATTTTCCCATTATGGGACCATATCTCCGAAAAGGGGGTCGTAGGAAAAAAAATGTAGAAATTTGTCTAAATAGCCCACATATTCTGAGCTTAGTTTTATTGTATTCGTAAATTAGAAATGAAGTAAAAAATAAATGTAATTTTAATTTTATAGTTTACTGACCTTTGGTAAATAAATGTCCGTACATTTTTTCTTGGTTAACAGATATCCAAGTATTGTACCTATTAACCAAGGAGCTGCTCTTGTTTCTGTTCTTAAATAATAATCATTCATATAAACGTGCGAAGGAGTCCTGAAAATAATTAAGGTTAGTAAAATCCTAAAATCTTCATGTACTTACGAGAGCTTTATATCTGACAATAATTTGTTTATGAAATAGTCAATAGATTTCCAAACTTAAGGTGACTAAATTCATGAAATTTTAGCGGAAAACGTCAGCCAATTTTACCTTACAAATAATTTGTCATTATGTTGAATAATTTTGCATTATTTTAAGCGATATAATAATTTTCCAGATCATATACTATATATGCAACAAGTATAGAGGTAGAAACGGGAAGGAGATACAATCACGTGGCCAAAAGTATCACCACGTCCGCCATTTGTTGTTACACCACTTCCTTCACTTGACACGGTTTGTTTCGTGATGTATTGCTTAATATTTTTATATTAATTACATACTTTAATTTAAACTACTTTTGATAAAAAAAAAACACTAAAAGAACAATTTTATATAAATAAAAATTTCCTTGGTTTATTCGGTCATAAATTTTATTTTCTGTCGTTATCACAGCACTACGTATGTTTCGAAAAACTTTTTTTCCATCTTCAGATGCAGTCAAAATTTAAAAAAAAAATAAAAAAACACATGGGGACGATTACAAAACGTACGCTTGATAGAAGTTTAAATTAACAGATAAAACATCCAAAATATTAACAAATTTTATTCACTAAAATTATAAACCAATTTTAGAAACCATTTATCATATGATGAGTCATCCATAGTACAACATGGCTACCACTTCCGTCAGATCAATTAGATTAACGCGGACATGGCATGCTCCTTCCTGACTATATATCGCATCCTTGATTCAAAACTGTGACAACTTAAAATTAACATCTTCTGATTTAATGTCATAAATATAAATAATAAAAGGGTTTTGTTGTAACCTCAAAAATGACATTTAGACGAGTCACTTTTAAGCTAAGTTAAAACAATTTTGATATTTGTTGTAGGGTTGCTTGCTGATTGATGGTATTAACTCAAAAGATGTGAATTCTGAGTTGTGCCATTTTTGAAGTAAAGGTGCGTTATGTTCTAAGCACCACTGCGATTCTGACAATGACTAAATGACAGTCAAAACATTGAAAATCGCAAATAAGCGTTATAAGTTTTTTTTTGCAAATGAGTAAATCTGTTATTTGTTTTTTAATTTATCCACAAGATTTATTTATTTTTCTTAAATCAGTTTTGTTTTAATTAGAAGAATAATTTTGTTTACTTTTTTACTTAATGTTTTTTATTTAATTTTTTAATAAAGCCAATAATAATGTACTTCTGTATGTTTTATTTCATCAGAAATATTACAAGACATTTATTTGTAACATTTTGTCTGCCGATTACGCAATGGTACAACTTACCCCAGACACTGTTACAATTTACCCCATGAACGGGGTTTGTTGTAAAAAAATGAAAAGCTTTATATTTTTATTGAACCAATGAAAGAGTTTCAAATATAGTTAAAAATAAGATATCAGCTAACTAGCAATTGTTTACAGAATAGAATATAAACAGTGAACATTTTGAAAAATATAAAATAACTGAAAAAAATTAAAAATTTTAAAAATGTTACAACCTACCTCGGTTTCTCCTACTTTTAATGATTAATCTCATCTTTAGATTTGGATAAAGTACTTTTAATTAAACTTACATTTTTAAAGAAAATTTTGATGTAATTAGTATTTTTTATATTTATTAAAATAAGAGTTCAATACTATTTAACCTAATTCATATGTTTGATTTCCCTCGTACGTTTTTTTTTTAAATGTTAATATCATAGTTTATGTAAAGAAGTAATTTTTGTCAAGAATATTTTTTTTAAATAATCTTTTTGATACCCTCTATATATCTTTAATTAATAATATCTCATTAAACTTACTTCGAAAAAGAATTAGGATGTACACCTGATAACTCATCTTCAAAAGCTCTAAGAAAGCCTAAAAATATTGACCAAGCTGATGCCAAAATTAATATTGTTATTCCGGTCTTTGAATGTTTTGATAGGATCCAGAAGATAAGAGGTGAAAATACATATAGTTGCATATCTACATTCAGATACCAAGAGTGTCCGACACACTAAAAAATACAAATTAAATAAAAAACAGAAACAAAAACGTATGTTAAGAAATTTAGAAATAGATTAAAACTTTTCACTAACCATTTCGTTTACATTAACTTCATTTTGAATATACAGTAAAGTTGACCACCAATATTTTTTACAAAAACCTTCGAAATAATTAACGATATAGGGCCAATTCGGTCCTGACCCCATATATCTTAGTAAAGTTGCTGAGATAAGTGTTACTCCAGCTAATGGTGGGGTTAATCTAGAAATAAAAAAATACTAAAACCACAAATTTTAGCGTAGATACTAGATAACTTTTTAGGCAAATATATTTATAATTTTTTGCAGATTATATAGTCACTAGGTATCAAATCTTACAGAAAACAACTTAAAAGCTTTATAACACACTAGGCGTTTTACTATATCACAAGTTACCCACAGTGACTGTGTAACTGAGTTAAGTTAAAGAAAATTCAATGACAAATTTAATATTAAACCAAAATCTTATTTTAAATTTTTTTTGCAATCTTAATGAATCCTTTATTAAAAATATGAACACGTTAATTACCTATTTATTTTATTTTTAAATAAAAGATCCAAAATTAAATAAATCTTAATACAAAATTAAAAATAAAAAAAATTAAGAAAATACCTAATTATTCTGTGAAAATAATGTTGAAAAATGGTAGATAATCCTAGACTATGGGCGTTATGCTTTTTAAAATAAACGTAAGTCACTAAAATTCCACCAACCAATAAAAACGTATCGCAAGCCAAGTCTCCATTTATAAAAGCCATGCTCAATATAGAATTTGACATCTGAAAAAAATATTTATTGATATTCATCATTGAAAGATAAGATGTTAGTAACACCACTGTATAGGGTGAACGATAAATAAAATCACACGGCAGTGGCCATATATGCAACCAGATTATCACCAATAACATAGGAGAGAGATGAGCAAGTTGACATATCCATTGGATAAATAGAATTATCTCAGAAACAAACAAGATTTATTTAAAAAAAAATAGCAGAATGATGTAAATGGTGTATGTAGTTAAACTTATATACGTAATGGGACATAACATAAATTGGTATAATATAAAAAATTTTTCAACAAAATCATGTCAAAAAACCATCTTGCCCTACCCCGGAGGGCAAGATGACATACGACAAAAATATAAAATAATTTTAATTACAAATAATAGAGAGTTATTGCAAGTTCACTTAAGGTCAGTCACTATTAGTGCTGCTCTTATTTTGACATCTGAGCATGCGTAGATCACTAACTTTAACAAAGATTGTACCTGTCCTTAAAAGAGAGTTATTGCAAGTTCACTTAGGGTCAGTCACTATTAGTGCCGCTCTTATTTTGACATATAAGCATGCGCAGATGTTTATGTTCTGAAACTGACTTTATTAAGTATTGTGCCTGTCCTTAATTGTGGATGTTTAAGGGCAGCAGGTAGTGGCGACTTTATAGCTTTCGGATGCACTCGTCATTTAAACCTTTTAAAATTATAATTTTTAATGCCTCTTTAATATTAGGTACCATTATAGAATTTATTTGACTCTAATTACGATGTCACTATTAGTGGCTGGCTTTATAGAAATTTGCAATATTTGCAATATATATTAAGGATAGGCATAATCTTTAATAAAGTTAGTGATCTGCGCATGCTCAGATGTCAAAATAAGAGCGGCACTAATAGTGACTGACCTTAAGTGAACTTGCAATAACTCTCTAATATTAATTAACACACAAGTCACAAATGAATTGTTTAGCCCTTATAAAAAGGTCAGCACACTCAGCGTGCGCCCATCTATGACACTTTTGACAACACAACTAACCTTCATGGGCTTTTGAATGTCTGTATAGTTAATACGCTAGTTCGGTGTGATGTCATTTTGGTTCCACTGACATTTAATTCTAACCAAACTTTTAACAAAAACATCAATAAATTTGACATATACGTTTTTACTGTTTTTAGTTTATTTCTAAATATTGTTTACAGGTTATAAAAAATAGTTTAAAGGCATGTAACTGGTAACTAAACGATTTTATATTTGACGCATGTTATCTACTTACTTTAGGAATATATTTATAAAAGTAAAAAACGATATAATTTAGGTAAACAAAACTAACAAAACGCACACAAATAGTCTACTTTTACTTAAATTATCAGGGGAATCATAACTATATCATCAATAAAATGGCGTATTGTAGAATTGCATTTTTTTGGCATTTCGACAGTTCTACAGCACTTATACACCAGCCGCCACTGTTTGACTTAAAACATAATTATCGAGATTAACCCTCTTTAATTGCTGTAAAGTAAACAACAACCTGCTTACTAAAGTTACATAAAATGACTGCTGTCAATAACGCTAAAAAATACATGGTTGCTTGATTTCCAGCTAACATGTAAAAGAAACAGTTTTTATTAAATAACAATATAGAATAATAAAAAAAATACTAACATCATAAGAACCAATTGAAATTTTTAATTATTTATCTCTATTTCTATATTTTATCGATGTTCAAGCAAAGTTTTATTTATTTTAAAGTAATAAGGTAAAGTTGGGAAATAAAACATACCTTCTTGTGTACTTACTAGATATTACAAATGCTTTAATACCGTAAAGTGAGGTTACTTTGCACAAAATTTTTCTATTTTTTTATTATTTATGGGTCTGTTGGGAATTATAAAGCCCGCTCTAACTATATGAAAATTTAATACTTTGGCTACATAGTTTTGTAATTAGAAAGCATAAAAAAAATAGAACCACATTTTTTAAAAGTTTAAAAAGTTGGCAAAGTTACCTCGACTTTGGGGATACTTTGCTGACTGGCGTTTTTGCACGTTTTTAAGCATACAAGCCAAGTTAACAGTCTCGAAGTGTTACTTTTCCCTCCTTTAATGTGTTAAAAAAAAAAAATTAAAAAACAATTAATTTTTACAATAAAAAAATATATTTCTAAGAAAATTCCACACCTGTAATTTTGAACCAATCAAAATACGTGTTTTTGACAGATCACCATGGCAACGGAGGTACTTTAGTGGAATTTTTTTTCTCGTGGGGTACCCAACAGCGAATTATACTGGAAATTTTTTGACGTTTACAATAACAGACCATTTTTGACAGACTGGTTTTTATTTGTTCACATAATAGGTTTAGTTTTGATACATTTTAGTTACAATGCTAAGGTGTTTTCTATATTCTTCGGCCACTTCTTTTCTTCTTAATGGCGAAAATGCAGGACTTTGGATGCTTTGAATTATGTGTCTATGTCTAATAAAATATATATTTAATATTTAGACACTAATTTATTCACCTTTTTCCCATTCAGCACTTTGAATTTTGCGTAGTTTAGGTGCAAATATTCGTGGACAATTCGGAACAAATTTTCGTTTTTCAAGTTGGAGCCACAATCCTCTATTAATCCGAGTAAGTAAGTCATGGTGCAATGATTGATCATTACATCAGACAATTTCACGCATATTTTGCATAGCGTATGATTTTCAAATCGATTCATTTTTAAACAAATAGGTAATTTTGTTGGTTTTACTTGCTGTGCAATATTCTTTATCGCAACAAAACTCGAGTTATTTAATGTTTTGAACTGTCAAAATACAATGATCACAGCCTCCTACGATTGATGTTTGCTGACGCTGGTTATGAATTTCATACCATTTTAAAGCACTCATAACGCATGTTAATAAAAACGCAGAAAAACAATTTTCTACCACTTGTAGTTATTCAAAACTTACGTAAAATTAAAGAATATACTATTTTCTATTTTCAAATGGTATTCCCATGCAACTACAATGAGTAGAAATAAGCAATTTGAAGGCCTAAATAATTGCAGCGAAACATTTTTTTACGTCGGGCCGCTTGACAACTTCAAAACTGAAATTATATTCGAGGTTAGGGTCTCACTTAGTTACCATGACAACTCAACAATCAAGGCGACAACACCTTTTATGTTTCACTGGTGACTTGGAGAAAATAATTTTCAAAATATTCATGAGCCCAAAAAAATTTCCGGAAATAATTTGACCTCTAGTGGTATTACTAGTGAAAATAAAGAAAAATTTACCTCTTTGCAAGTCAACAAACAACTAAATATTTCAGGAAAGTTAGGAAAAATAGCGGAAATTTTTAGGGACAGCAGATATCGCGATGCGGTTTTCTGCATTGTGTTCAGGAAGGTCCCAGGAAAAAAGTCTATGTCGACTAGTTAAGCCATTTTTTGAAAAATGCCTTCTGGGTCGGAAAATGAATTTTCCAAATGCATCATTACTTGCACCATTATAGGAACGACTGCAAACTCGGAAAAATCGCTCGGAAATCGTTACTCGGGGATTTTTGGGTCTGTCGAACTCGATTCTGGCATTAGAATTATCCGGGGGTGGCTCTGTGGGGTTGCGCGGGGGTGAGTTGGGGGAGAAATTGCATCGTGCATGAAAATCGCTCCAAACTCGTTACTCGGGGGTTTTCGGGGATGCCGAATTCAATTCTAGAATTGGAATTACCAGGGGGTACTCTGGGGCGGCTCTCCGGGGGGTTCATCCTCAAAGGGAAAATTGCATAGGCCATGGGAAGCGCATCAAACTCGTTACTCGGGGGTTTTCGGGGATATCGAATTCAATTCTAACATTAGATTTTCCCGGGGGCGCTCGGGGGTGGCTCTGTGTAAAATGGTAAAGGAGAAAGTAAAAAATCAAAAATTATGAAAATAATACTTCCTTCAAATAACAAATAGGAGTTTTTATTAATGTTGAATTATCAATTAAAAACTTAAATTTTTACCTTAAATACTCTTCTTCTTCCCCTTCTTCATCTTCTTCCTCGTCACTATTCTGAGCCCCGTTGGAAGTGCCTTTTTGGTTTGAGGAATTGCCATCGCAATGCTTGCATGTAAAGTGAGTAATTCAACCCACTTCGGCGGCACCCGCACCTCGTACCACAGCCGGTTTCACAAGAACAAGAAATTTTGCTTAAAATTTCCTCGGGGCCGGCTTCCTGGGTTATGGTGACAGGACTAAGCTCTCCATCCACCAATTCCCACCCCCATTTTAACGGATCTTAGGTCTTGTCTTGACCTTGTGAACCATACCAAGCTTGTACTTGAAAATAGGCACGCTTGATATGCTCGATTAACGCAGAAAGTCCAAAGACCACCACTTGTCACTAAATGTCACCAATGTAACAACCAGGAAGCCTAAAGACCATTTGTAACTACTGATAGGTCTTTAGCTACTGTTGTTTATATACTATTAAGGGATTAGGGCAGCGTCGTCACCAGCCAAAGGGTCCTGGAGTCCTGAAGGAACATCCATTCACCAGTGGCAAATAAAAATAAAAAAAAATCAATTAAAAGAATAAAAAAAATCATCCCTTAATAGCATAGTCGAGCGGTTTCTTGGCAACTAGTTTTAGACTCTTTTAGTCCTAAGGGAATAGAAACGCTGAGGCTTCTGAAATGCTCGGAATATTTTGCTGGTTTGGAAAGAGAGGAGAGATTAATACTAAGTATTAAAACATTAACAAATGTATATTAACAATAAATACAAAATTTGACTGATAGTCTTAAGAAAAAATGAATAAAATTTCAGTTAGGGAATAAAGCACTATAACTACATAGTAATATAAAGATAAGCCTAAGATAAATATAATTCGGGACGAAAATGTAAAATTGGCATTTATATGTAAATGAATGAATCAATTAATTATTATTAAACAAAACACTTTAAAATTAAGTTTAAATATTGACCCATAATTCACATCGTACACAAAACTTTACACAGTACTT